CGGGCGCCTTTAGGCCTGCCTGAAGGGCAGGTTGGTGTGACCCTTCTCTCCCCGCACCCGCCGGGCCCTGCCGGAGATGTCTGGGGCGAGGGAGAAGAAGCGGGCCAAGAAGATGAGGAACCAGCCGGCCAGCGTCACCCTTCCTGCAGAGCCGGGGCCCTTCCCCGGCGGCGGGAGCAGAGCCTGCCCGCCTTCAGGTACGACTGGGGGACCCCCTGCCCAGGGCTAGGGTGGGAGACCGTGGAGGGACTGTGTGGTGTCTGTCGTGTGTACCCGCCCCCCCCGCCCCGGGCTGGATGTATCCGTCTCCGCAGCCCCGGTGCCTTGTGAGGCGTTCCCGGTGTGAGAGCACTCCAGGGCTTCGTCCTCTGCCGTTGGCTCCCTTAGCCCTGGTTCTGCCATAAATCTCGTTAATACGCGCTTCTCTCATCCCTTCGACTACACGACAAATCCAGAGGCGCCCGCTGCGGTTTGTATTCTTAAAATGAATTTGGATGTTATACCCCATCCAGTGACCTCCCTTTCAGTCAGACTTAGGAGCCGCCGGAGGAGGTGGTTTAGCCTGCGGGCCTTATGATAAATACGCTATTTTTCCATTTGATCTGCATACCCAACTAATTTGCCTTTTGTCGCTTGTATCTATGGAAGAGTATTGGCAGGAGGCAGTAAGGCACTTCCTTAAAATGGCAGCGTTGTTAGGTAGTTGCTGGAGCATTTTGTGCACAGGTAACCTTTGCAGCTGAAGACTGAAGGATCCTGTCAACCTGCATGCCAGATGCTTTTTTCCCTTTGTGTGTTTTGACCTGCATCCTGTATGCTTTAATTTGACTTCGATTTCCATCCGCCCTCCCCTTTTCAGGCTTTTATTTTGTTACCTATATTTTTTTGGGGAAAAAAAAAAGCATAGATAAGAGCAGGCCTGTTACTGTGAGGCCTTCAGAGGTTGACAAACTGCATTTTTGTGGTTGAACAGAAAAATGCTTGTGTCACTATGTATTTAGGTGACTGAAGAGTTCCTAAGCAGGCAGAATGACATAGCAAATTATGGTCAGCCCTGTCTGAAGATTTTGGAATACCATTGCAGGAGTACTGCCAAATTAAACACATTTTTCTAACTTTATTTGTATCAGGAAACTTCTAAGATTATGTTATACTTTTCTGTCCTGTTGAATAGTATGCAATATCATACATATAACCTTCTTCTGTAGTGTTAGTATCTTGGTTTTATAGGGCCATGTTGTAGAAACAGGAAATAAAAAATTCTAAATAGGAGTTATAAAACTATGGATCTACATAGTACCTGAAATAATTTCATTTTTCTTTAGGTCTTAAGTCTGGCACTGTCTTTTGAAACACTCTTCCATTTTCTGGTTAAAATATTTAGTTCATTCATTCTTAGGAAAACTTGATAGTGAAAAGGTGTGTTTGTGACATGAGTTAATAGCTGTCCAGTTACACTCCCATGATTGACCTGGGCTGTAGGTCTGCACAGATTTGCTGACTGAGGCAGCATCCGTCCACCTCTCCCAGCTATTTCCTTCTCACCTTCACCTCGCTGTCTGGACAGTACTGCTCTCAGCCATGTGGAAAACCCAGATCAAGGAGTTATTCTACATAAAAACTAACTTCTGTTTCCACCCAGATTATTTTTTCACCTGAATTACTGCAGTTCTGCATGACGTGTAGTTGCATTGGGGCTGCAACAGCATTGCTGCTGAACGTAAAACTTGGCTTCCTGCTTATTTGAAATGGAAAAAGGAGCTTTTTGCCGTTTTAGGTTCACATAAATTGATGCTGTTGTACGTGAATCTGCTCCTGGCTATTCCTCATACCAAAAGTATCATTTCTGGGACAGTGGATAGGCTTATTTCAGAGGCTGATCAACCTCAGATCTAATATTTTTAGTCTCTTACCCCACTTCTCCTGACATACAGGTTGATTTTTACTAGAGGAGCTCCCTGAGCTGTATGGCCCCATGTTCCCTCAATCATCTTGATGCAGTGGGTGGTGTGGTGGGAATGGCTGTCTAGAGCCTTCTTAGTTCAGTTGGCCAACATGAGCTGCCTGCGAACCATATATAAAGTTGTACTAGAAATCTTAACCAAGACTTAACTGAATAGGTTGAATATAAACTAATCTTTAAACATGGACTTCAGGGCCCCCTTAAACTTGAAGTATCGTTAGGTTCTTATCACCCTTGAAAGGTATTTCTGTACCTTAGAAAGCTTACTGTAGATTTTAGTTATTTAATTTCAATATTGATTTCAATGCCTGTGCCAGAAAAGTAACTTACTGCACCAACATACATGTGTCACGCTTACCTTATTTGTTGCTGTAACAGAATTACATGTGAGACAAGAATACATTTCCTTATCGGGGAAAAAAAATCAAGGGGCAAGAGGGAAAAATATTAACTTTGTTAGTTTGGTACTAAAACACTGACTATGCAGTAGTAAAAATCAGTACTGATGTTATGTAGACCAATTTTAGTCAGGTCTTTCCTGTTGAATCTGATAGAGTATTGGAGGCAAAGTCTGGACTGAGTACCATTTTCAGAATGTGCAAAAGTTACTTAATCTGCTGCAGGCTTGCTGCAGGACACTGCAAAATTTTCTTTCTTCCTACAAAAAATAACTTAATTATTCTGACTTCTGATTACTTTTTCAGGTACAAATATTAAGTATTATAGGAAGAATGTGCAGTGCAGTCTTGTGAGGAAAGACTGCATAGCTACCAGTCATTCTGGCTGCTTTGCATTTTTCTCTTACCTCTTTTTATCTCTAAACCCTCCAGGAGATGTTCGTTCTGAGCAGCAGTATCAGCAACAGAAATTTTTGAATCAGTCATCTGGGCCTTCTTACAGGAAAGACCAGTATTTTCCAAAAGGACAGAACAGAGGAGAGAGAGGAAGAGGAAGAGGAGGATTGCAAGGAGGACGCCAGAGTATTTCTGAGGAAATGCCAAGATACATAACAGGTTTGTATATAAGAAAAAGGTCATAATTTATATGTCCAGGGCAACGTGCTCTTGATTAAGTTTGCTGTCTGTTTTTGGTTTTGTGCAAGAGCAAAAATTAGAACTGATGCTGTGTTCTTCTGTTTTTTTCTGATTTTCTCCAAAATACAGAAGTAGTTGGATACTGGGATGAATGACCGTTATGTTCAGTGTCCTTATTTGAGCCCAGAGGGCAACTGAGCACCAGGCCAGCTGTTCGCTCACCCCTTCCCCCTCAGGAATGGGAAGGAGAAAGTAAAGTAGAAGGCTCAGGAGTCAAGATAAGGACAGAGAGGGATGACTCGCTCATTATGGTCACAGGCAAGACAGGACTCATAAGGGGAAGAAAAAGAACATCACTTAATTCAAACACTAACAACAACACTTAGCAGACAGAGTGGGACAGTGAGAAGCATTACCACATTTTAAAAACAATTTCCCCCACCCCTCCCTTCTTGCTGAGCTCAGTTTTGTTCCCGATCTCTCTGCCTCCTTACCTGCAGCAGCGCAGGGGGCAGGGAATGGGAGTTGCAGTCAGTCTGCTGCTCCTTCTTCCTCAGTGGGAGGACTTCTTGTGACTCTTCCTCCCAGGTTTCCCTTAAATATGTTATTGCAGAGGCACAGCCACCATCACTAGCTGTCTTGGCCTTGGCCAGAGGTGGGTCCAACTTGGAGCCAGGGGAGCTTCAGGAAGCTTCTCACAGGAGGCCACTGCTGTAGCCCCCTCCCCTGCTAGCAAAAACCCTGTTACACAAGCTCAGTGCATTCAATGAGTCCTTTTCAGACTTCTGAGTTAAAAAGTTTCACTTATTTATAGCAAGGGGTATGCATTTTGGTTTCTGTGCAGCAGCAAAATGAGTACTGGTAATCATTTGCTTTTAACATTGCCAGTGAAACTGTTTTTGCACACGATGTGAATTAAAGACAACTTTTCATCTAACAGAGTGTTTATTAGGAGAGCAGATTAACTTTTCAAAATGTGGCGGTGCTGATAGTTGATATGCTTCCATAAATAGAATAAGACCAACCTCTGGATTTTTATTTGATCATTTAAAAGCAGTCTGAGATGATTACTACTTCCTTTTTTGTCCGTGCTGAAGTTTTTTAATCTCTTTGAATACTTTCTGAAAAGATTGCTACTCTAATAAAGAAGTACTTAATGCAAACAGGACTTGTTGGTTATACCAGGGCTTTGAGATTCATTCACGTAGAAATATTTGTTTAACCATACTTTTAAGTTCAGATATCTAAATAATTGAAACTTATTCAGTAATAGTATACGGTATTTACTTTTATCCCAAGAAGACATTAGGCTGATGTACTAGGAATGTTCTGCTGGAATTCAGTAATTTATGTCCAGTGACCCTTTCTTTGACTTTTGCTGTTTGTGGTGCTCTAATGCAGTTCTTTTCATTCTAGTGTCTACCTTTGCTCAGGCTCGTGCTGCTGAGATCAATGCCATGTTGAAAGCAGTTGCACAGAAGTCTTCAAACTCTCTAGTTTTCCAGACTCTACCTAGGCACATGCGAAGGCGAGCTATGAGTCACAATATTAAACGCCTACCCAGGCGGCTCCAAGAGATGGCCAGGAAAGAGGTATAAGTGTTTTTTATACTATTTGATATATTATCAGCATTATATAATACAGCACAGTGTTCAGCTGTACATTTATGTTCAGACCTGAGCTTATCTGCAAAACTTCTCTGTGTACACAGGTTCTCAAACTTTGATTTGGATTCAAAATGCAGGAGCGTCTCAGTTTTAGGTAGTAGCTTGAGTAGATCTCCCTAACCGCTTGCCTTTGAGATTGTTGGACATCTTGAAAAGCTATTAGAGTAGTGATGATAAAAGGGTCCACTGCAGGAGGGGTTGTT